GGGGGATTCTTCCACACGCGCATTCCCCGCCATTCTGCGCTTTCCATCGGCCAATCCACTGGACTAGGACCTTTTTGCTATCCTTCCTTGTCTGCGATGCCGTACTGAGTAAACTACCCTTGATATATCTGCTGTTATGGATTTGATCACGACCTCATAGCTATTTGTCTTATGCTTTAATTTCAACTTTACTCGATATCCCTAGGCTGCCCAGCTGCCGTGTCTTTCAGTATTCATTGAGAGAACTCTTTTAAGTGTTTACACCTTGAGGACATCAACCCGAATGTCTTTCATCTCTCGACTGCCCTCCACCACCTCCCGCCTCGGGGCAAGGGCAGTTATTCTCAAGCCAACAGCAGCGGCAGCAGTTCGTGCCAATTCCTCTCTCACAGGCGGCCCCGGAAACAAACCGCTCAACTCCATCCTCATCGCCAATCGCGGCGAGATCGCACTGTATGCCTGTCTCTTCTAATTTCATTCTGGGAGTCTAGAAACGAGTCTGACAATATCTTGTTTTGGAACTTGTTTTTTTCCAGACGAGTAGGACGAACAGCTTCACAGCATGGCATTCGAGTAACGACCCTCTATACCGATCCCGATGCACGGGCTCAACACGCGCTAAGTTCCCCGTTCGCGTTCAATCTGGGCGAAACATCCGCATATCTGGATGGAGATCGGATCATTGAGATCGCGCAGAAGGAGGGTTGCCAGGGCATACATCCCGGTTATGGTTTTGTGAGCAATTATTTAATTATTTACCTTTTTGTCTTTCTTCTTTTTGGTTGGGGGGGGAGAAGGATTGGTTGGATTTCAAACAATGAGTTTATTGGGATCGGTGGGCTGACGATGATGTTTCGCAATTTTTATAGCTGAGTGAGAACTCTGCGTTTGCGCAAAAATGCACGCAGGCAGGCTTGGTTTTTATTGGCCCTCCGCCTAAGGCTATCGAGGCTATGGGTGATAAGAGGTATGTGGTAGATGCATATGTGTATTTTTCATCCAAAGGGCAAATGCTCACTTGGATATGTGTAGCCGATCAAAGGAAATTATGACGGCAGCAGGCGTCCCCTGTGTGCCTGGCTACCATGGAGATAACCAAAGCATGGAGTTCCTTGAAGCAGAGGCAGAGAAGATCAAGTTCCCAGTCCTCATCAAGGCTGTGAAGGGTGGCGGTGGTAAGGGAATGCGAATCGCCAGCTCCAAAGAGACCTTCCGGGATCAGCTTATTTCTGCAAAATCGGAGGCGATGAACTCCTTCGGCGATGACACGATGCTGGTTGAGAAATATATCACGACTCCACGACATATCGAAGTACAGGTGTTTGCGGATAAGCATGGGAACTGTGTCGCGCTGGGCGAGAGAGATTGTAGTATCCAGAGACGTCATCAGAAGATCCTTGAGGAATCCCCCGCCCCGCATTTGCCTGAGGCAACACGGAAGGATATTTGGGATAAAGCACGGGCGGCGGCGTTAGCTGTAGGCTACGAGGGAGCGGGAACGGTGGAATTCATCTTTGATAATGACACGGGGGAATTCTTTTTCATGGAGATGAATACCCGGTTACAGGTCGAGCATCCGGTTACGGAGATGGTTACGGGACAAGATCTGGTCCATTGGCAGATTCTGGTTGCTGAGGGAGCCCCGCTGCCCCTGACGCAGGATGAAATCGAGTCTATTATGGCGACCAAGGGTCACGCTATCGAGGCGCGTATATATGCCGAAAACCCTGATCAAGGATTCGTCCCAGACTCTGGCCGCCTCCTACACGTTCGCACTCCTGCAGCGACAGAAGACGTGCGGATTGACGCTGGTTTTGTTGCCGGCGATGAAGTATCTTCGCATTACGATCCTATGATCTCGAAGCTGATTGTCAGGGGATCGAATCGGACAGAAGCTCTACGGAATCTCTCCATGGCGCTGGAACAGTATGAAGTGGCAGGACCAATCACCAATATCGAATTCCTGAAACGGGTGTGCAAAAGCCCAGACTTCGTTTCTGGGGATGTTGAGACGGGCTACATCGATAAACACAGGGCTGAATTATTTGCAAAACAGCCTGTAGAGGATGAAGTTCTGGCTCAGGTTGCACTATACTGCCTACTCAGTTCCTCCAAAGCGGGCGGCCCAGCAGGCTCAGTGGTTGGATTCAGCCCGGCATATCAAGAGCGACAATTTACGTTTGTAGAAGCTACTGCGCAAACCTCATCAGAATCATCTGGCAATGCAGCATCCTTCAACGTCCAAGTGCAACAAACCGGCGAAGCAACATTCAATATCGTCGTGAACGGCACTAGTTTCGAGAACGTCAGGGTCCAACAGCAACCGCACGAGTCCAACGTCGTCACCTCGTTTTTCCCACACACGAGACTTGACACGACGGTGATTCGCGACGAAGATGCCATCACAGCGTTCCAGCGTGGGAGACAGTATCGGTTGAAGATCCCGCGGGCTAAATGGATGGAGAAGGCGCTGGGGATTAAAGATACCGCAAATAGCGTGCTCGCGCCGATGCCATGTAAGATCTTGAGAGTCGAGGTTGTGGAGGGGGCGACTGTGGTGAAGGACCAACCACTCGTGGTTATTGAGAGTATGAAGATGGAAACTGTGATTCGGAGTCCACAGGATGGGAAAATTGAGAAGGTGGTGCATAAGGCCGGGGTAAGTTTTTACACCATTTTCTCTTTCTCTCTTTCTCTCTTTCTTTCTTGCATTTTCTTTCTTGGTTTCCAACCCCTTTTTGCCTTTCTTCTTACATTCCTTTTCCTGGGCTTGGAAAACAAAATTATCTCTTAACTAACTCATCGTGGGACATTTTTAGGATATATGCAAAGCCGGAACCGCACTCGTTGAGTTTGCAGAGGCTTCTTCTGACGCAGAGGCGAAGACTTCATAACTTAAAAACCTATTCGACATACGGTGACTCGGTGAGCCGTCTGCGTGCCGTGCTTTCTGAAGGGACCAAGCTGTTTATTCACCGGCTGTTATCGTTTTACATTGCAAGTAGAAGGAAATTGAGATTCTACCATCTTGTCATTCCACCCTTCCCTTCCCGCGCCCCTGAGACTCTTTTTTTTTTTGCGTATAATATACGAACATGTCCTGTTGTTTTCATTTATTTATTTATCTTTCATGTGAATGTATACTACATATAGAGAAGAGAAAGAGAAAGATTTTTATAAGACCCTGATAGATTTAACTTGACGACACGGTCGTGACTTGTTTGAATTCTGGGCACATTCATTTACTTTTTGGGTAGCTACGGATCAATTTATATCTCGGTACATACAGTACCCTGCTGACATGATAATCGAATCGAATCGGCACATGGCATCGGGTAGAACTCGATGGGGTGTCTGGGCAGTTCTTCCTCAGATTTAAAAAGGGGGGGGGGGGGGGGGTGAGAATGAATCTGCGAGTTGCACCAAAAGACTTGTCACTTGGTCACTGTTTGGACGACTTCTCTTGCAGTTGTCGTAGTCGTTCGCGGACAAAGTATTGGTATTATAATAAGAATATATATTTGATCAATTTTGCCGCGCTAACGAGTAGAGAAAATGTTGAAACTATGGGGAATTTATATTTCTACACCAAGATTGTACCTTAAATGGACACCGACTGCGGAGCATTTCTCCATTGTTTTTTTTATGAAAGGAGGTTGAGATTCCAGATAGCCAACAACAGGCTGATTGCCACTCGAGTCGGTGGAGGGGTTAACTTGGTGGTCAATAATAATTTGCAGATGTTGTCTAATATTTATTGGGACAAAACAAACCGTTCACTGTTGTTCATCTGACTCCTCCAGCCGATCTCCTTGGATGAACTATTCTTAGCGTCTGTAGGGCCCAACCCCCCCCTGGGAACCCACCCGAGCACCCCTAGAATGCCCCCTAGTGCTGCCCCCAAGCCTGGTCCCGGTGCCCCCGACTGCCGCAGTTCCCCACCCAAGCTCGCCGCGTGCTCTCGCCTGTGGGCAGCTCACCGCCTTGCCAGAGCCTGGGCCCGCCTGGCCGGCTGCTCCGGCCCCGGCTGCGCGGCCTGTTCGCCTGTGCCTGCTCTTCTCCCCTCCTGCGACGCTGGGTTCGAAAAGTCACGATAGTTCGACTGAGCCGTCATCTGACCCAGCGATCGGGCTCTCTTACTCGGGAAAAATAAAAATAAAAATAAAAATAAAAATAAAATAACCTGGGCTGGCTCAACCAATTCTGAATTTTCCTCTCCTCTCTCCACTCCCCCTTCTTCCCACCTTCAAGCAATGTTGGCCGCTGCGAGAATCGTTCACATCCATCTTGATATCAGATAAAATTTCGTCGTTTTTCTTTTAAGATCGGACAACGCTCGTTTCCCGGTTTTGGTTCCTTTTTTTTTTTTTTTTAAATAAATATAAATTGCTCACTCGCTTTTCGCCATCTGGACGGCTTGTTTGTGGGAAAATTATCTGCCCGGCTTCTCCAGCCCGTTGCACTGCTTTTTTTATCCGCTCTACCTTCAAGTCTCCCACTGATACGGTTCCTGAGACGCTATCCTAGACACTGCGCAGAATTGTCCTGGTGAGTCTTTTAACTTTATCCAGCAATTCTTGATATCAATGGGCAAACGGCAGAATTACACAGATCAAAAAATGTGCCCCGACTGCTGAACACTATTCAACTATTCCTTCCTATAAAGCTTCCCTATTACTCTCCATTCCAGGTACTGACTGCTATTTAATATAGAACACCCCCGAAGCAAGCAC